CTCAAAGTATAGTCTGGAACTACCAGCCACAGACTTACCCAAGGTTATTTTGGTTGTGGTTCAACAAGATAACTATGATAATAACATCCATAGCTTAAAGCCCTGCATTTCATTTTCAGCCCTGGAGGGGATCAATAGAAGCTAGGGTTGCTATTACCACAGTTATCTTGCTGAATTACACTTAAGACAAATACTCTAAGCTGCTCTTCTTTAGGAGTGCTACTTAAAAATACCTGTCATATGAAACCTGTACAGCAAAGATGCTATGTCATGCGAAATGGCATGCCTTTTACTCTGCCATAGAAATAAAAATGAATTAGTAAGTACAGTATTGCATGTAAATACAGCCTGCCCTCCATATAGTTCTTAATGATGTTGACAATTGCTAAAGCTCATCTTTGTTGAAAGGTCAAATATTATGCTTTCTGGTAGGATTCAGGGGTCTGACATGAGAACTGTACTTGCTTAAATTAAACAGTAAACCAAATCCCAAATATACTATAACTAGTTTAAAAAATAAAATCAGTGAAATTTAGAAATTCAGATGATGGGATGATAATCAAGAGTCCCCTAGGCACCTGTCAGAATTCTGCAGTTTGGAAGCCTGCTCATGCATAATCTGAGTATTTATCCATTTTATGGTTGCCTGCCAGAGATTTATTTTAAACCTCCTGTATCTGCTATAGTGGATTTATCCCTTCCTTCTCCTTCCCCATACTTACTGACCCTGTGTTTGACACGGTCTTCAGCCTCCCTTCAAAACATGGTGGTGGGGGCGAGGACGAAGAGAATTGGATTTTAGAAGCGTTGTTAATGATAGAATTGTTATAAAAAGGTTAGAGAAGACGTGTTCTGATGTCTGACCTTCACGGTGTTTTAATCCTATGTATGAGGAGATCAAAATGAATACAAGCACATTTTAAGGTTAGAGAACACCTTCTCTGATAAATTAGTCCCTTTGTAGATCTCAAAATTGAATTAAAATACAGTGCTCAGTCATATTTCAGGCTAAACTGTTACATTTACATTAAAGGTACAGGGCTGAAGCATTATGATGTGCAATTCAGTACTTGGCACAGTTCACATGGAGTTCAGAATGGTTTTCTCTGCCTTTATCGTGCTTTATGGGGCAGATTTCTAAATTGCATTTCTCAGTTTATGTTAATGTCCTTCACAGAGACCTGGTGGTCTGGATGCCCTTATGCACACACGTGTTCTTCCCATTAATGTTAATGGGAGTCAGAACCAAGCAACGGGAGATAAATGTTCTCTCAAATACCTTCTGACCTTCCCTAAAGTAACAGGATTGCTAACTTCTGTGAACATATGGACCAGATAAAACTCGTATTTCTTTGCTCTACCCCCATCTCATCTATAAGAATAATATAAGAATCAGACAACCTCTGCAGAAAAAAAACAACTGCAGTAGAGTACCATCAGCCAAGCCCAGCAAAAGCTCTACTTCTAAATAAATGAACTCTCCCTGGCAGGGACCATGGTACTGTGACCTCAGGGCTCATTCCTACAGGTCTCTGCCTTCCTCTTTCTCTTCCTGCCCTGGTCTTTTTCTTTCCCCACCTATTAGGAAATTTCAGTTTTAAAGTATTACATGTGTCTCAGCAAAAACAGGTGGCCATATATTGATCCTGTCATATGTCCCTCTTTTTTTTTTTTAAGATTCTATTTATTTATTTGACAGAGAGAGATAGTGAGAGCAGGAACCACAAGCAGCGGGGAGTGGGAGAGGGAGAAGCAGGCTTCCCGCGGAGCAGGGAGCCCGATGCGGGGCTCAATCCCAGGACCCTGGGATCATGACCTGAGC